GCGACGAGCGCAGCGATAATCCGCGTTTGATCCACGCGTTATTGAACTCCCGCTACTTTAGATTTACACGTGCGACGTAGAAATGGGGACCCAGGTAAATACCCAGAGCACTGGCCTTATTAGCGCGTAAGGTGATATTTTCTTAGGATGTTCTACACGCGATAGTGTTGTTAAGTAACTCCGACCCGCGCAAGTGATCCTCGCGTTTAACTCAAGTTATGTCTTCGCTCGCGATACGTCAATTAAATATCGAATTTCTTCTTCTTTACGTTAACTGTAAGTTACAAATCTTTGCGGATCCGTTTTCAAAATTTTAGAGGTAAGAAATTAGATTATTTTTTTACTGATAATCTATTTAATGAGTAAATGAATATTTTTCAGAAAGAAAATTATTTTGTGCTTTTAACATTAAATCTCACTTCCTAAAATTCCTTCGATCTCGAGAAATTTTCGTTCACGAATAACGTGTATAAATATAATCGGCAAATCATCATCATTCATTTAATTTTGAAAGATATAAGGAAAATGGCTTGGAAATTGTCATACAGAATGTGTATGCACGTGAAAAATAAAAATATGCGTTATGAAGCTGTATTTTTGCGTTATTTGTATTTCAATGACGATAATAATTCCGAGTAGTGCGAAAACTATTTGCATTTACAACGCACGTTTAACATTAAAATGTTAATTTATAATTTTAATAATTTACATAATCTACAATTCTTCATTCCGTAATGCGTTTAAATCACACATTGGGCAGTTGAGGCAATGAGATGCCTTGTTAAATGTACGCTAAAAGTGGATTTTTTACTTAAGATCCTAGTGACGCGATCCTAGTTATTGCGATTATATGATTCATTAAGAATAGCATTCGGTATGACAAACGCTTGATAGTAATGGGATTTTCTTTGCATCGATGATCATCGAACCTCGTTGCGACGATCATCATAATATTTCCACTGTTAATCGTGCGAAGCATTTAAATTTCCGCAAAGTTCAATATCCGTGGTGCAAATAGTCTTCTGATCGTCAAAGAGTTCGGTTTCGAAATTTTATGACGCAAAAGATGCGAAAATCTTGAAGTCTTCACGGATTTCTGAATTCGATAATTCAAAAATTTTTTAAATTTTGATTCAAAATTCCTCGATTTTTTTTTTTTAGATGAACATTGAAGATTTTTGCACCTGAAATCAAATTATTTTGAATTTCGCTGTCTCTTCTTTTTTTTTTTTTCTTACAAATGGAGTTTTATTATTCATAATAGTCATATGTAATTTGTAATATATATATATATATATATATATATTTAATTTTAATTAAATAATATAACATTCTGTTAATTTATTATTTTTGTTTAATATAACAAAGTGAATATAATAGAAAATAATAGACATTCCATCTATTATATATGAACAAATAATCTAATGTTTAAGATATAATATGATTTCAGGGGCGAAAATTTTACCACACCTAACTAAATACAAGAATATTTATTTGGAACTGCAATTTAAACATGTAAAGAAACATGTAAGAAATTTCATCTTTATGTGGTGGATGAATGTTGAATTACTCGAATTTATTATCGATTACTACTCGTACGTACTCGCGGATATGCACTTATGCGAATTTTCAACTATTACTGCTAATTTTCATTCAATAAGTTCTTCATTTGTTATAAGGATAATTCGCTTTCCTTGCCACTTTACCGAAAACCATTCCGTGACTTAATTAAATTCGCAAACCTTTCTCTCTCGCCAGTGCCCGCACGCAGTAACGACTTCGTTATAGTAATTAGCGCTTTTTCTTCGAGAGATCTTTTTCCACTTTTGTTTACCCTTTTTTTACAGCGTAATTGTAATTTATAGGTTTGACATGGTAGTCGAATAAGGCTGCTTGTGTTTTTCCTGCGAAGAGCAGCCCATTCCTTTCGAAAGAGCAATAAATTTCGGTATTATATTTTGAAGTTAGAAATTACTTATTGACCCTTATCTTCTAAGCTACTTTTATCTTCTGTAAGTTACCAATAATTTTCTTATAATCTGCCATTTATTACTGTTTATCGGTTATCTGTTTTTCTTTTACAATATCTCAGTATGTGTCGTTTATTTTTTGATTTTCTAAATTTATTTATATTATAGATAAAATGCTTAGTTGATTTAATCTTATTGCAACTATATCGTGTTACTGAAATTATTTATTCCCTCGAAGAAATTTTTTTTATTAATTTTAAATTGCGAAACTATATTTTTTTCCTCCTTTTTTATTGCTATGTTTGAGAAACGTATTTTCCTTGTGGTCTGATAACAAAAAAAAGAAAAAAAAGAAATCTTATTCTGGAAACGTGAGTATATAGCATTAAGAAGAAAATCTAATCGTTAAATAAATCTTCGAAGCATGTGTACCTTTCGTTTAGAAAATCGAGATAAGGTGTAATTTTTCAAATATATCATAAATATATCATAAATATATCATGATGCTTGATCATTATTTTTTCGTTATTTTCACCACGATAATAGATAAAACGTGATCGTTCCCCGATATCGATTCGCAATCAAACTACGAAACTGATTTGCTGGCGTGATTCTATTGAAATTTCTATTGAGTGACGCTTGACACCTAACTTGTCAAACATTCCATTATAATAGAAAATTTCTAGCATTATTTTTTAAAATAGACATTTGTTATAGAAAATTGTTAGAAATAAATATTTATTTAAAATATATAAAAATGTGCAAAATAATATATAAAATATATAAAATATCTTTTTATGTTATACTTAAAGTTCAAATCTAATATTTCTTATGTATATGTTACTTAATTTTTTTATGTATAAATTACGTTAGATTAATTAAAAGATATAAGATGTATTATTTGCGTATTATTTGCCTTGTTGCCAAGATTATCGATTTACGAGAAGTAATACGAAAGTGATAAATTACATTTCCTTCATCAGGTATTTCCATAATTAAAACGCGCGATTTATCAGAGAAACGCATATCACGAAAAATTTATCGACAATATGATGTCGCGTTTAATCCTGCGACGAATGACGGTACGCATTGTACCGTGTTATATTCTCCGACCGGTTTATTAAATGACAAGCAGCGTTCATTCAACAGAAGTTATTGGCATGAATAATAATCGTGTCGTGTATCGCTAAATCGACCTCATTATTACTGTTAAATTTATTGCAAGATTTTAGGATCTCGTCAGAATTGTATCGCGGAATAAACTGAGCGTTAATTTGATAAAAAAAGGTCTTCAAACATCTCAAGATTTAATAAAATTCTTCAATCAAAAGCTACGACCGGTATTTTTTTAATGATAATATAAAATATGATTATTATATTAATACGATATATTATTACGTTAAATTACACCAAACAATTTAAGATTTAAGTTTTACTATATGAAATACATTAGTTTCAAACAAAGAATTCAAATGAGAAAAATACAATAATAATAACTTTCTATTAATGTATATTCGATTTAATGGGAACGCATAATTAAGCCAGGAAGAATCGATCGATCAAACGAGATAAACTATCTTGATTTTTAAATTATTTTTTTTAAATTTACTTATTATATCAAGATAAAGTGCGTACAGAATCGCGTAAGAAAGAAGAGCGACCTTTTTATCTACTAACATTTACGGCGTCGACGTAGATGTTAAAATTTTTAAAGCGGACGGAGATTGGGACGGCAATTGGGAAAAAGCAGAGGGGCAAAACGATAAAAGGCATTTTAACAACAAGTTTTTACGGGGATAAAACGTGTGAAATGGCGCAGAGAAGTTCAACGAGTTACATCGGTGCGGTGTTTCTCAGGTGCATCCGCTCTTCTGCATGGGTAATGCAATAATCTACGTCGACGAGCTGTTTCCGTCGGGAAACTCGGGAAGGAGAACACGTCCGACATGGGAAAGAAGAGACGGAGAGAGAACGCGCGTTAAACGCGAAATTCGACGCGACGGCGAAGAAAATCGAAAAGCCCGCGATTCCGCCGGCGTGGCGATTGAAATCGGATTGGAGTGCTTGTCACACTCAGGCTGGAAGCAAAACCTCTCCATTTTAGAAATAAGCGCGAACGGCCGCGCATTTGGCGGTGCTTTTATTCCTTTCTGTAAATTCATTCCGGGATATTTTCTGTATTTCCGCCTATAACGTCGGAATGACGCCATTTATGAAAAGAAGTCCAGTACGTTTGCACGTGCAAAATGCGGTTCGCCGTTCATACGCGTGTATTTGCTTGTTAAATAAATAGACAAATAAATTTGGACATATCGCGTACACACGTAACGAACTTTATCGCGTTATTGCATGCAAAATAATTATCGGTCGTTTGCACTTGTGTGTTTTTGATGCGAGCGTACATTTCTCGTTTGCTCGTTTAAATTTCGACTTGCGCTACATAAATCATTATTCCGCCGTTATCCCTCGAAATTATTTTCACGAGTATCATTTCGCGCACAGAACGGAAATTTTAATGATATGCGGAGCATTTTTGAAGTAAGCGTATAACGTCAAAGCGAGAGTGAGTCTAAGAGGGAAAGTTATTTTCCTTTGATGCGTTATATTTTTGTGCAGCGAGACTACTGTACTGCGAAAGTAATAAACTCGGGAGTTTTTGGGAGAATCAACCTTTTCTTTCTTTGACACAATACCTTATCCAAAGATTAATGAAAGTCTCGTGATAAAATGCTTTAAAAGGAAATGCCACTTTTGATAAAATGAAAATTTCCTTTAAAAGGAAATGTCAGTCTTTTCTTCTTTTTATTATTATTATTCTACTTATATTTTCTATACTAATACAAAAGAAGTCAAATAAAAATTGTAGTATGGATATGAAAACTAATAAAAAAGTTATGAAAAATAATGAAACAAATAATAATTTGACAATTATAGAAAATTATTAAATTATTATTTGATTTTTTATCGGCAGAAATCGTACTTGCGTACTTTTCAGAGAAACACTCTTGAATATAGTGTCCAGTTTAATCTAGTTTAATCCAGTTTCTCCTATTCTTATCGAGATATTACAAAGGTCCGGAGATTCGTTAACAATTTCTAATTCATTTCTATTAAAGAAAAATCTTGAAAAGCGCGATGGGGACGCGAAATCGAGGCGGAGTCTCGCGATTCAACAGCGGATGCTCGTAAAAGCACTCGACTTCCATTCGGATTCCGCGATGCGCCTCCATTCATCTCCTCGAGTATCGTGATTTCAGAGTTCTTTTTTTCCCATTTCGATCGAGTCGGATAAACGAGAGATTACTGATAATGGCTGACCAGATAGTGACGGCGGTGATATACGATAGCCCCGATGTCGGATCGTTCCACTCGATTCCGCACGCGTGACTCCGGACGTTGCGTTGAAGCGTAACTGTTGTTTAATACTTTTCTGTTTTTGACTTTTCATCTATCTCTGAGAGAAGAACTCTGGTGTTACTCGCGGTCGGGAAAAAGTCCAAGTAGATAAGCGAAGTGAAACGCGTCAGTTAGAGGGCCATCGCGGACGAGGTCGGGATCGCCCTCGGACTCCTCGGGAGTACGGAAACGTCCTTCTTCGGAAAGAAGAATTTCTCCTTGAACAAATAGGCCAGAGACACTTGGAGGGAAATGGAGGAGAGGGCGGAGGAGGGCACGGGAATGATTAACGGAGCTCCTGTGCGTCAGGAAGGCAGGAAGCTGTGGCAGTACCTCGCATCCATTTCCGGTATTTGAATGATGTTGGTGTATATTAGTGCTCGCCGTTAGTTTCTGTCGCCGTACTCTAAGTGGTGATCGGTAAATCAAAGGAAATGTCGAATCGCGTACGATGGAGCGAACGATTAATAATTATCTGCTTAAACGCTTACGATTGATGTATTATGTAATTTTATTCTTGCTTGAAATATTAAATACGTGATAAATACGTCTACGTGATAAATGACGTCTAAACTGATGGCGGATATCAATTATTTAGTAAACAGAATTTGTATTAAATTTGTATTTAAATATGATTTATATTGTTTACCTATGAGTCAATGCTCGAAAAGAGTGCGTGTAACATGTTATATCGAGTTGTAAGCGGTAAATATTGCAAATATACATCCGAATCGGATACTTCATTAACGATGTTGATCCATTTCTATGTTCTAGTTGGTTGATTTATTTTTTAATTTATATTCGTTTCGAACGTTAATATTGAAACATCTTTGATATTGTTTATATGCGGTATATCGTTCATAATGCCAGCCTTATGATTTTATATAATATTTACATTAAAAAACAATGTTTAAATAATGATGAATAAAAATTCTTTTCTCGCGAGTACAGAAACATAAATTACAATGCGTGTATTAAACCAATAATAGATAAATGCAACACCAGTTTAATTTTTCATAAAGATTACATTTTTTTATTTTATCTCTTTACCTCAAGCGCTTTATTTTGAGAAATAAACAAAAATAACTGAATCAATTTATGAATTATTAACTATCAATTTATTATTTTATAAAATTATTGTTTAGTCAGTTAGTATTCGATTTACAACATCACTTGTCGAGCTGATAATCGTTAATCGCAATTATTACGTCGTTATCATACATTATCAATAGATGACATGATTGCTGAAGAAGCTTTAATAATCATCTAATTGAGTTAAAAATTCATTCTATGTCTACCAGCACGAATATCATTTTTTTACACTTTATATCTTTATAAAAATTAAATTATTATAAATTTCATACGTAACTTTTCTTTTGATATTTACAAATTTATAGAATTGGAAACAGAAATAAAAAGGCTATTAGGTGTATATCGGACATGTACAAATGTATATATGGAGAGATGTATATGTATAAGATGTATAAGATATATGTACAAATGTATTGATGTGGTCTCTGTTAAAGTCGTTTTCGTAGTCCGCAAAATCTATTTGTCAAGTAAATACATTTTTTTATTTATAAAAATACTCGAGCTCCTCAGTCGAGAAAGGTTAAGGCGATATTAATGTTAATCACAAAGCCTTGCGTATTTTTTTATTTAAAAAAAAACATTTTTTAAGAATATCTACAATCTATTTACAATTAATTTTATTTGCGATAATTGAATTTACATTCCAAACACTGAAGCCATATAAAAATGTTAATTGACGCTATCAACGATATTGTATACTCAATCCCTTCCAATTAAAAAATTCAACGTTATCTATTAAATTATAATTATTAATATAGAACGACGTTAATTTATGTGATTTCACTGGATTAAATTCTGCTACTTGATTTTAGTTGAGCTTCAGCAAATCGAGCGAACTAGATTTAACTGACACAAAGTTCGTTACAGTATCCAATTGAATTGCGCCTGTTATTGATTAAGCTTCGCGCAGATATAATCCTGCGAAAGCGATGAAATCGTAAAAAAAAGAGGCCACTATGTTCGTGGGCTGTCTTCCAAGTCGACTTTTCTACAAAATTAGAATTATAACGGAGAGATCGTAATTTCGTCAGGCCATATAGTCAGATCATTCATTATTATAAAATCTCATCAAAGTCTCTCCTCGAAACCCAGCGATAATCGTGATATTTTATTAAAAAGAACATCGCTCTGAGAGGCGAAAGAGGCGTCTTTGCCTCGCCATGAAATGTTTGACTTGAGCATGCACTTTCGACATAACGATCCTCTCAATGGATCCGCTGTCCCGCGCAATCCTGCATTCCAGGAATCGGCTCAATTCATCCCCGATTAGGGTGTCATAATGCACAACTGTTTATTCTCGATGTCGGTTGTTATCATCCACCTTAGCGTTTCGCTAAAGTAATTCAACCCATCCGTCTGCCTTATCACATGCGCCAGATAATCATTTCTGAGCGTGTCGACGGCGGATTAGCGTGATATAAAAAGGCTTTGGTTTTACTTAATTATTGCATTAACATTTGCGCTAATGCCGTCGCAATGATGATACGACGGGCCACCATCGGATCCAGTATAAGAAAGAATCTCTTGATCGAAAGGATAGACCGACAATTCATTTTGAAGTTGTTTTGAATTTACGAAATTCATTCTCTTTCATCGAGGAAGATAAACTACTTTCCGTACAGATGATAATTTTTATTTTGTCAAACGTCAGTGTAATGCAACGGGAGTGGGCCACATTGATGAGAATTGATAAGAATTAAATATCTAGACGCTAGAAAACACGAATGATAAATTTCCAAACAAATAAGATAAATGTAATATTCAGCGTTTGGGCCTTCAATAGCTTAAAAGCATATTGAGTGCTTTCTTCAAAGTGAATTCACAAACATTTCATTTAATTTGCAGGATTCAAATAGCAGACCCGCTCACAGAAAGCAATCGGAATAGTTATCTTCGTTTTAGCCTTTACAGAGGGAGTGCTAATTGAGGGATTTCATTTTTAATGTCAAGTAAAGCTGCTAATAATAACGCTTTTTTAAGCTTTCCCTTTGATCGATTCGATCGATTTATGTGCCCTCAGCCTGCGTGATGTCGGTCGGCGTCGGCACCGCTCTGGCTTGGACATCCCCCGTTCTGCCCCAGCTGTACGAGGAGAATTCATGGTTGGTTATCACCAAGGAACAAGGATCCTGGGTGAGCTCGCTTCTGGCCCTGGGCGCGATAGCGGGTGCCGTTCCGTCCGGAAAGATGGCCGACATACTCGGACGGAAGAAATCGCTTCTTTTGCTGGCGGCTCCGTTCCTCCTGTCCTGGGCGATCATCATACTCGCTTCGAGGCTGTGGCTGATCTACGTGGCCAGATTCGTGGTCGGTATCGCCGTAGGGGCAGCCTGTGTCGTCGTTCCGACTTATCTCTCCGAAATCGCGGAGACCTCGACCCGAGGCACCCTCGGCGCCATGTTTCAACTGTTCCTCACCATTGGGATCCTGCTGGCCTTCATACTCGGATCTGTGATGAGCTACACGGTGTTCGCCATAGTCTGCGCCCTCATAGAGGTCGGCTTCTTGGCTAGCTTCATATGGATGCCGGAATCGCCCGTTTGGCTGGTGGTAAAAAATTGAATCTTCTCTTCTCTTTATATAACGCGATTTACCCTCTCCTTCTTCTTAACTCTCCTATAGCTACTATCCACGAAGCTATATTGAAGATGAATTTAAAACCATTCGGTCGGAGAAAATGATTGTGTGATATTCAACCGTGACGATAGAATTTATTCAGTAGAGTAAAAAAGTTGAATATACCTCGAATCTTTATAGAAGGAAGGGCGGAAACCGGAAGCCGTGATGGCGATGGCGGTCCTTCGAGGAGATTCTTACGACCCGTCTGCGGAACTCGCGGAGGTGCAACGACAAACCGAGCAGGTGGCGTCGAGAAAGTCGACTATATTCGATCTGATACGAACCACGGCAGCCAGAAAAGCTTTGCTCGCTACGTTAGGCAGCATGCTCTTTCAGCAATTGTCCGGCATAAACGCGGTGATCTTCTATACCGTCACCATCTTCCAGGCATCCGGAAGCTCGATACCGCCGGAAGTCGCCTCTATAATCGTGGCAATTGTTCAGGTGCGTTTAGGAGATGCGTTTATGCGCCTAGCTTATGTAAAAGCTCTTTACGGAATTCAGAGTCGTCATTATGACGACTATTTCTATAATAACGTATCCTCTTTGCATTGCGGACTTAATACAAACTAAAAAACTTCTTCCTGGAAATTTTCGGACTTTAATTACCCTATTAAAGTGTAATTAGAGTTTTTTGCTTGTAAAATAATTTGTCGAACGTAGCTTCATATAAATTACGTGCGTAATCCGCGTCGCAGTTTTTATGCCCTGTTCCTCGCCCTGTTGAATTTTACATGATACCGCTAGTTGCCGGCGCGACATGTATCAGTGATATGTATATCACGCGTCCATCACGCGCAATTATTAATTAAACTTGATCGTCCTGGATGACAATGTCCTGAAATTTACCTGAAATCGTCATGTTTCGCAGACGGTGATGACCGTTGTAGCAGCTCTGATTGTGGATCGCGCCGGAAGGAAGCCGCTACTAATATTCTCCTCAAGTGTCATGATGGCTAGCCTCGTGGCCCTCGGTTCGTATTTCAATATCAAGACGAACGGAAGTGACGTTAGTAATCTCGGCTGGCTACCTCTCACGTCCATGACGCTATATATGATCTCCTTTTCCGTCGGGTGAGTACTGCAATTCTACAATTGCGTTCGGATTTTTCACATTGCTTAATATGAATATTTACATCATTTCTAAATTGAAGTGTCCGTATCATAATTGAAAAGAATTTTACGCGACGTTTTGTGCGCAGAATGGGTCCGATACCGTGGATGCTGATGGGCGAACTGTTTCCCGCCGAGACCAAGGCAGTCGCTTCCGGTATTGCCGTGATGCTGAATTGGTTCCTAGTATTCTTGGTGACGAAAACCTTCCCGATGATGAACGAGAAGTTGGGCGCGGACATTACTTTCTGGATCTTTGCCACGATTATGGCGGCCGGCACCGCATTTATATATTTTTTCATACTAGAAACTAAGGGAAAAACTACGCAACAAATTCAGGACGAATTGCAGGGCATCCGAAGATAAAGGCCTGAATCACATCGACAAATTTTCGCATCGATTGTCGTGTCGATAAAAACATTTATTACAAGAAATATATTATCTTGAGCGAGTATTGCAGCAAAAAAGTTTTGCTGCAATAAACTGCCAAAAGATACGTAGACAAATAACGAAAAAGTCTTTTTAATAATAATAAATATATTGAGAAGTGAGTGAGAAAGTTGTCGAAAAGAAAGTTAAGTTTTATGAATGAGATTTATAATTTCTTTTTCTTTTATCTTTTATATAAATTATCTCATGTTTGAACATTATTAATGAGTTTATTATTATATTTATATATTTATGAATTTATTATTACTGAACATATTAAATCTTTGTTTAGATAATTTTTATTTGGGATTTATTAATGTGTATTTATTAATGTGCGACAAAGATAATCTTTATCAGTTGTATACATTTGTTAATTATCAATTAGACACATGCATTATCATACGAAAAAGATAATACTTAAGAACCATCTTTTACTTATTTGCCATTAAATATTTCATAAGCTTAAATTAATAAATAATTTCATTTTGAAATTTTCTGCAATTAATACTAAATGTGCAACTATAATTGATCGTCTCTCATTTTTCATCATTACATATAAAATATATGCATTTAGTTAAATAATTTTTTGTGCTATAGTTATAAACAAAATTAATTATAACAGTAATTGATAATTATATATGATAAATAATGAATTTTTAATTTGTCATAAATATTGAAAAGTATTAATATAAATAAAAATATATATTTCGAAAGCACAAATGTACTCAAAAAATAATCATAAATTAACAAAGAAATGCAAATAATATTTTGTTCAAGTGTATTACACATATAATACGATATTTAAATAATATATAATTCTATGATATTAATCTCTCTTCTTCTTATTTTCTAAACTTATTTTTCCTGCAATTTATGATCTTGAAATACATATTTCTGAATTGTATTAACGTAATGCAATTTCCATTAACCGCATTTTTCTGAAAATTATTACGCGATAACGTGTTATCTTCCTATGTTCTAGACCACTGCAATCATAGGACGCTACTACGTAGTTCTGAAGAATAAAAAAATTCTTTAACGTTGCCGATATATATATATATAGATGAGTCTTACATCTATTATTCGTTTTCTTTACTTATAAAATGCCTTCACGACAAGTAGTGTTTTACAATAAGATAACATAGATTACACCTGAGATTATCGAGAAGCTGCCTAACTAGTATAGATTAACTTAGCAAACAATTCCGCGTAAATTGTATGATGAAATTTAACTTTAAATTTTAGAATTACGAAATCGCAGATTTAATAGCCTTAAAAAGTCGATGCAAAAAATGTTCTTTTTGAACTTTTTTCAAGTAAATGAAAATTATTTAAAAAATTATTTTAATTTTTCTATAAGAATTTCTATAAGAATTTTAATTTCAACTCTTTTCACAAATTTTAGCTTTAACCTAATTTAGTAGTAAGTTCTTTTCGACAGATTTGTACCAACTTTGCGATTACAAAAGAGAATTGGAAAATTTTTGCAACGTACGTATGTTTATATTTTTTTAAACTTGACTATCTTACGAATATGTAATTAGACATATTCGCTAGGTCGCTGTTTTAAGTATTTACATTACATTTAAAGTAAATGCTTCATGTCGTCGCTGTTTATCTAAAATCTTAATGAAAAATAATTAGTTTCCATACGAGTGCAGCTTATTTTGTGTAGTATCTAATTGTCATGACGTTGTGATATTACGCGCACTTACTGCAGAACTTTTTTCTGTGCAGTAAGGCATATTGATAAAATAGTGATTGTTGAATCCATCGGTATACATTCAATTTTTTATTGCTCCAAGATTATCGTAGAAAATGCAAAGTCATTACTCTTTCTGAAATAAGATTAGAAAGAAATATAGCTATTAATTTTTATACAATTTTTATACAATTTTATACAGAATTAATATATTATTATATATAAAATTTTAAATTTATAATTTATAAAGATAGTTTTTCTCTCAGTAAAAATAATTGATGAAAAGTTTTGACGGAGTTGCTTATATCTTAATTAAGTTTTTATAATGCAAATAATAAATTTGCATTTTTTTATGGTAATTATAATTTGTATATTTTGAAATGAGCTTTAATATAGATTAAATGACAGGCTTGATTCCCGAAATATTTAATATTAAAATGTTGATAGCGAGAATAATGGTTGCTCATGAAATATCCAGAGATGATATCGAACTCAAATTTATCAAGAAATAATTGACAGAAGTGAGATATAATAATCACGATATCTAAGGGATGCCTTATCCATAATATAGATGGTCTGCTATTATTATTCAATGATTGATATAGTTTCCTGTATTCTGTTCGGTTCTGTAAAAAGATGTTAATAGATATTTAGTCTTCAACTTTACAAAAATGAATATTAATATAAAATCAATATTAATGGAGGATTAAAATAAACTCATTATATTTTCATACCAAACGATCAATTTAATTTAAAACATATTTAATCATAACGCGTACAAAATAAACATTTATTTTATTGAAATTTTTTACAAAAATGGTCTGATTAATTTTAATAAAAAACAACCAAGATATTTTTATAAATAAATCTCACTCGTAGAAAAAGAAACAGCGAAGAGGATAAGCGCTGCGATAAAATGATTCCTTTGTCATATACAGAATTTTTTCATAATGTAAGAATCTATCATTTGAGAAAGTTGTAAAAATTATGCCGTCCTTGTTTAATGAATGTTTAAAGAATTATCGACAGAACCCGTTGACGTAATGTTCCTTGGCAAAAAAATTGAACGAAACTTTCCAGACGACTTACACGAGTTGCAAGTTGGAAAATGTTAGACTCATTACGATTTGTGTAGGATGACACTCTTCTATCTCTTGAAATGAAAGTAGTAACGCAATTTTTTATCGATCGCTTGTTCAGAATTTTTACGCGCATCTGACGTAATTTATCGTTATATAATTAACGAAGATATTAGGCGCCAATTAATATTGCGCGAAATTAGTTTTGTGAGTGTATACGAGTGAAGACTAATGTCCAACTAATGTCGCTGAAAATTTTTCCACGTGAAAAACGGCGCGGATTTTGCATTTCTAAATTAGCATACAAATTATCTCTTTTATAATTAAAATGAGCGTCGTGTGTTTAAATGAATGTTTTTTCCAGCTATGGCTCTCTTCACTAAAACACGTTTTAAGTGGAGCAGCTACGTTACTACTGTTGCTTTAAAGTCAAGCGTGGACAAATTTTCCATGGTTACATATGATTGACAAATGTTTCACTGATATTTTTCCAGACTATTAATATATATTAATAGCGTTAAAAAATATATCGTATACTGTTAAATAACTGACAGAGCTGTGAATCACGAAATATTGTTCAAGCTTCCAGAAATACATGGAATTTTTTTTAAATAGTTGAATTTCAAAAGAATTATTAAAGACAAGAAAATATTACCACACAATAAAAATTATGTTAAAATGAGACAAGAAAATTACGCGTGAAAGAGTGAAAAACATACATTTAAAGGATCAATCAACGTGAAAAATATTCCGAAAATTAAATAAAATCTTATTTAGTAAAATCCAGATTTAAAAAAATTTTTCCAAATTTTTGTGATCCAAAAAGAATTTGATTTTTTTCTTTCCCTTCTTTTTTTCTTTTTGATGAGTTTCTCCCTCTTAAAGTGCCTCGAGTAATTTATTCTCACGTAAGGCAGCAAAGTGTTAATCTAATTCTTCAACGTGAAATACGTACCGACGTATCATTCGCCGTATCGCTCGCAGATTGTAATGGAATGTCCTAATGACGTATATACGCACTTGCAAAAACAGCGTGGGCGATCGAATGCAAGTACTTGAGATGAATGCACTTTGTCACGTTTCGCGCGTGGCACGTTCCTCGTATTCCTTAATTCACGCGTTTTCCATTAAACCTTCCAGCACAAGTTTTACTTCTTTTTTTTTACATGCATTTTCTCACGTATTAAATTATCTAACGTCATTTCGTTAAAGTCACGCGATGCGATGCATTTTTAAACAGTTAACAGTATATTATCTTGAGTTTTCATTATCACCGTATTTGTGCGGAATTATGTTAACGGTATTGACGACTTTGCCGTCAAACAAGCTGAAAACGGAACACTGTCTCGAAATCAGTATCGTAATAAGAACTAGTTTCCCCCACTGATTTCTTCATAGCGGTCTTATTGTTCGTCTTACATAATACAATGTGAAGCCACACAATGATAACGCAATGTTGCTTTGTTGCTTCATTTTCTCATTGGGAATGAAATTAGAGTTCTCCCTCAAGAAAAATCAAAATCTCAACCTCTCACCGAATTTAAATTAGTAATAAAAAGTAATGGATTTCATCCACATTTCTTCCATTCTTGGAATATTGTAAATGACGATTTATTATTTTTGTAAATATCTAAGTGTCAATTTCTTTTTTCTAAACTACATTGAGAATTTTTCCGCTAGAATGTACATTTTTTTCTTCTATATTTTTCGATTAAATTGAATGCAAATCTTCCTCGATAAAAGATCAAACAGGTGTCCCATGTTACTACCATGGTATTATTTTAAGTATTTAAGTCTGATATAAAATTCTCGTATTTAATCATAATAACTGTAATATCTTATGCATTTAATATTCTCACAATAGATTTTAAAATAAAGACTTAATTTAATAATTAAAAATAGATGTGCCATTTTCGTAAGACGCAGTATTCCAAATCCATTAAACTCTCTTGTAAAAAATCTCTCTGATTTTCCATTGGGAGATTCCATTGTTAGAAGAGAGAAATATCAGTCTGTTGACAACATAGTTCCAGACTAATAATACAGTGAATAATCGATGGCTCAACTCTTGCAACGTGTCTCCAGCTGGAGGCGTGCGCCAGGAATCGCCATTGGTGAGGGCTTTTGCGTTTCATACAGGGTAAAAACCGGAACCAGGCTAAGAAAGGGTAATGGCTTCTTCACGCTGGTAATTGGTTGCATATTGCCAGCTGGTTCCATATTGCCGCGATTATTCGAAAAACCAGGAGATGGCGGGAGCCTTTAATCATCATTTTATGACCTCTTATACTTCGGAAAACTTCGCGATTCGCCATCCAGTAGTGTGATCTTTTTTTTTTGCCAATCTCCGAGAATTCTCCCGAGGCTCAAGAACCCGACCTGGTTGATTAGGTGAGTCCCTTCGAAGTACAATGGCTGTCACAGTTGGCGAAATCGTGCTTTCTGATCGACATGTCGATGCGGCGGAAACTGACGGTCGATGGTGAGATGTGTTATTCGCATAATTGATGCAACTGGAAACTTACGCGTGTCTATCTTTTTGCCTTAGGCAGCACCTTGCGTAGTTTCAGATAAGTGCTGCGTAATTAGCTAATAGTAACGACGCAAATTTTTCAAAAAAATTTTTTGATATAAATTATAAAGAGGTTTCCGTTTTGTAAAAGTTCAATTAACGTAAAATACTTTCGGTAAGAAAATAAGCATTTCTGCATCATTATTTATTGTTAATCCTTTCCTTTGGCCATTTTGTTAAAACTAAGCAGAGCTTAACCACATCAGCTCTTATAAATAGTACAATCAAGAGACACGGTCGTGGCTTGTTGCCAATTGTGCCAACGTCACGAGTGTGAGATCCGTGTTATTATAGAAACTGTAATAATAATTATAATAAAAATAAACTCGCGTCGCGGATTGAAAAAAAAGAATTGAAGAGGATAAGTTATGACGGTCCGCAAACGCAGAACGAGCGCACTCAAACAATCCGCCATTAGGAACGATTGGAAACGCCAAGTTCCTATCAACCTGTCGGCACACAAGCAAACATAATCACGTGAAAATTATCGACGTGATTTTCCTTCGTAGTTCTGATTATGATAGACTTTCTGTAATATCGCCTCATACATCGGTGATCACCTCGTGATTATATTTGCCCAGTTGCCAGTAATATCAACAGAAACTCGGCGTTTCCAATCGCGATCTATCATCCGGCCGAGCTCTTAATCCAATTTATTTGCAAATCATCGCGAGCCATATCTAATGATTGTCTTTAATCTGGTCTCCAACTCGTAAATGTAACGGCCATTGAGTTATATTAAATATATAACTGTAAAAAAAAACAAACGTAATTATAAGCGATAAATCATTTCGTCCGGCTGTGCTTCGCCGTCGTTATTTTATCCCACGGAAACAGTTGCATTAGCAGCCTCGGAATCGATGAACGATTAACGATTGTTTCTATCGAGATTATAGCCTGCGGCACGTAGAATATAGATATAGAACTAGGAAATTAAATTCATCAGGATTAATGTTAATCGATATTATATTGGCGCAATACATCTCCCGAGCCATTAGCTATATCGACGATTCCGGTTGATTAATTTCGCTCGGCGGCGAGCAGCTCTGCTTTTACATCATGCGGTTATGTGTAGAAAATGACAAGCAGGAATTTTCTTTTTATTAATTATTATTAACATTAATTTCGGTTCGTTCGCATTGCATCATAATTTCTGCTGGAAATACGAGTATCGGCCGATTCATTTATTCTAATTAATAACCGACGCTTCTTTGTTATATAAGTATAACACATAACGCTTCTTTGTTATATAAGTGTAACACATAACGATTAATATAACGATTAATTGTAAATCAAATTGTACAAAAATTTGTGCCGCAGGACGATTACGAATCACGAGTTGCTCGGAGCGATTAGTTGCCGCGCGCTTATTAAAATGTTGAGAAAAATTCCGCTGCGAATGTAACAAATAAATTGCTTCCTTGTTTTGCTACGCTGGTTGCGCTTGTGGTAACGACAATTACTATGTAATCGCGTTTTAATGTACAAATTGTGTACCGGATTCTCTCCGCGCATCCGGTTTATACATCATATCTATCTGTATCAAATCGGTTAGCCGTCTTGCTTTTTGTTATTTGTGTATGTGTGTGTGTGTGGGGGGGGGGAGGAGAGGGAAAGAGAGGAGAGGGAGATTCGTTGGAATATTCATAAAACATCTCAATCTCATCCCTATCTCATTTTTATAATTTCCAAGTTTAATTGCGTTTTTATTAGATTGACGTCACGATTGCATTAAAAATTTCTTTTTATCGAAGAAGATTTCAAAAGCTTATCAAACTTGAAAAAAAGAGATGAAAAAAAGAGATTCAGACTGTGACAGTACCTTTATACATTTGCAAAGACACCTCACGCAAAAGACTGAAATTCTAGTAGAGCTTTGAACACATCGCTTAAGAATTGAATAAACACGCAATAAAATAGTATGTTTGCTATTTGTAAGGTTTGTTTTGTAAAATCTGCCAACGTCAGTAGATTGATAATTTATGACTAATTTACACGTAATCGCTATTGAAGCGCCACTACATGGATTAATGCGTTTATCATTATCGTCAAGGGCTACCGGTGAGGTAACAAAAGATATGAAAGAAGCGATAAACATAGCAGCGATACCTTTCGATAATTTATCGTATCTTGCCGTTACATAAAAGGAAAATAATCGAACGCTTATAATACAGTTTCTCACTTGGCGAAAAGATCATTTTAACGAGTGCGCGACATCGGTAAGTCTGTCTTTTTCCTCTTCCTTGATATATTTATTCCTTTTTCCTTGATATATTGTCACTGAAGAAATGATTCCGTGTTTTAATCCAATCGCATGAAGCTATTATGATAAACAATGCTATTGTGATAAACAATAGATCGCAATTAGATCACGCAATCGATACGCGTTCTTTTTTCGTGTGAATGATTAATCTCGCGATGACACCACGAAACAATCTCTAAAGGTGAAGAATGGGATTTTTTTTCGCGATACAATAATTATTTCATTGCGTCGAACAATTTGCTTAATCATTTTGCGAACATATTGTTGCTCGTGAAAGGAGTAACCGATTGCAAAGTGCGTCGAGTTCAGCGAGTTTGTGAATTTCTTTTGTTAAAACAAGTGCACACACCACCCTCCTCCCTCTCCCCTCCCCCCCCCCCACACACACACACACACA